AAAAGGCCTGTGATAGTGGAGCATCATCCCCATGGAAAGTCAGCTTTTTTCCCCCTCGTTCCGCAGCTCGATTTCAACTCAGGCATCAGCCGAGAAAGAAGAGAAGATGATTGTAAATCACCCAATGAAAACATGAGTCACGGGCAGATTTTTAGCCACATCTTTGATGGGGTCTTTATTTTTTCCAGGAATACATCGTTCACGTCGACCCAGTGAGTCAGCTAGGGCTGAATTCAGATAGTGTTCTCGGCTACAGCATCGGGGAAGTCAAGCGCAGCGACGCTTCCGAGACCCCCGAGCTTCTGCCCTGCGGCTACCTGGTGGGAGAGAACACTACCATCTCTGTGACTGTCAAAGGTAATTCCCCGATGGCAGGGGTTGGAACCTTCAGGAACTGCATTTTTTATTTTGTGACTTGGCGTAGGGAACCGTGGCCACAGTTCTGTTTGTGCATATGGATGTGGGTGGTTTTCTTTCTTCCCTTCGACCACAGTTATTTTTACCTAAGCAAATCGAACCGTCTTTAGCTTTTTGAACCACCATCAGAAACAAATAATTTTAGTTTATTGCTGAAATTATGTAACAAAAGGTCCCATTAGCCTTATGACTCTGAGATAATGGAATCTTAATAACCCTGTTGAAATGGGGCTCCACCAATGCCAATGAATTACTCTTGCCAGCAAGCCTTGGATGTGGTCCCATTCTACAGATGGGGAAACCACGATTTGCTGGAGGCTAGAGAGGAGTTGCTCTGAGCACCCTAATGAGATTGCTGAAGCTCTTGTCCGTGCATGATGCTGCCTGAGCTTCCGATGGCCTCATCACCCAAAGATGTCAAGCCTCAGGCCAAAGTGTGTTCCCTGAAACTCTAGGCCCACAAAGTATTTTATGGGAAAAAAAGTTTCGTGGCCAAATAAGTCTGGGAAACTGCATCGTTATCCCCATTTGGTTTGGGGTCAGGGGGATAGGAATGTACTGGTACATTAAAGGCTCCGTCTTTTAATGTTTTAACTCCTGCCATTCAGGTGGCTGTTTAATCCAACCTGACATAAATGTATTTGACTGCAAAACCCCTTTTACTTATATTTTATGAATCACCTAAAGTGTACACTAGTAAACACTCTGCTAGGCGCAACCCCGTTTCTTACTTCCCTGAAAGGCACTGTAGTTTAAAGGTGCAGTTTCGGGGTTGATGCAAGTTTGTTTCCTGATTGATAAGTTTTTCAAAAGCACCACAACTGCCCTCATCAGCAGAAATCTAGATCTTACTCTGCTTGTGACAAGCAGTAAGGTACTGCTTGAACCTCACACATACCCTTATCTTGTTGGCAAGTGATATTCACAATTGTAGCCTTGGCTGCAAGTGACAGAAACCTACTCAAAACTAGCTTTAGTTAAAAAGGAAACATGCAGACTAATGTACCTGGAAGATCCAGGAATACGCTTCAAACTCAGCTTGATCCAGGTGCTCCAACAGCGCCATGAGGTCCAAGCCTATCTCAGCTGTGTTTACTTTTTGAGCTCGCTGCACATGAAATTGCCCTGATAGCTCTGATTCATCTTTCTAGCTTAGGAACCTAAAAGAAAGAGAATAGCTATCTGGAAAATTGTGACAGAAAACTTTTAGGGGTGATTCTATCTCAGTGGGAGTCGAACGCCTATCACCAAGTCAGTCATTGTAACCAGGGAGAGGCTTTGGCCCAGACTGTCATAAGCCCATTTCTTTGGTGGATAAAGGTGCTGGGTCAGCCCCATTTGAACCACCTGAACTGAGCTCCCCATAAGAAAGAAAAGTTCTACGGCAAAGGGAAGGATGGAGTAGCAGGCACACCAAAACAGCAACCGTCCACCGCAAGAATCCTTTAAGGAAAGCCTTATGTATCATGGGCTCAAACTGCATTTCATACACACTGCTGGGCATGCATTGCCACTTACAGGTGAGCATTGCAAGCATTGAAGGTTAAAAGAGTGACCCATTGCTGAGACCAGACCAAACCTCTGTGATAACAGTGACAAGCTGATCTACCTCTGGTGGAACTGCCACCCCACCAGGGAGGCTGATCTGTTGCTGCTGTCAGTGCATCCAGCTGTTTTAGCAACTCCAGGGATCAGCTCGGGTTCATTGTTAAGTGATACCTGACTCTTCTATTTTCCTGAAGTGCTTGAAATTTATACCTTCAGGCACTAAAAACCACTCAAGAGCTTGAAAGAGGTTGGTGAGCTATAGATGGCTCACTTCAGAGTGGGGGGAGGAGGGACTTGACGTGCTCAGAAGTGAGTTCGTCTGCAATGTAGTCACTCTCAGGGGGGTTTATGGCAAAAATCCCAAAGAGCAGCCTATGTGCAGAAAGAGGTGTTTGCATTTCCTCCATTGTTATTTAGACTGGGGACCCTGTGTGCTTTGTGTCGAGGTTGGAGCCAGTGCAGGCTGTGTTGAGCTCAGTACCAGGGAAGACTCAGGTCTGTACCTGGCAGATGAATCATTTGGGAACCTTCATCATGGGCATTCTGGAACCATCACTGCATTTAGGGCCTATTCTTGGTTGGGGGAGGATTAGAAACAAGCATATAAATGCATTATGGGAGTCTTTACAATAAATAATTATGTGGGAGAAAGACGTACTTATAAAACAGAATAAATGCTCTTCAACTTATTTTTTACCTAGCCATACTGGTTTTCTTGAGGTGATTTTTTTAACAGAATTACCTTAGGTTCTGGATAAATAACCTTGGATGGATCTTCTCTGTGAGGGAGGGATATCAAGAACCTAGCTCTTTTAAAGCCAGCAGCCCTGATTGGTAAGAGTTGTCCCAGGTAGGAAAAGGGAAAGGAGAGTTTCCTCTTAATGTTGTTGAGGGTCAAAGGTCTCGTCAGTAGGTAGCATTTCAACCCAGGTCTGCCAGTATTCACAGCCCCCAATCAAATGGTCCTACTTTGCACTTGCTCATTTTAAAGATAAAAGTGTTATGACTTTGTGCTCCATCTGAGTATGGGCAGCAGTGGCAGCTGGCACGTGGGAGAGAACAGGGTGAGAAAGGAACCATAGGGTGCTGGCAGACAAGGGAGACTCGGGTTTGATTTGAGCAGACACCATTGGTATGGAAGATCCAGACAGGCAAACAGAGCCCTGAGTCTTAGGAATTCTACAGAGGGCAGAGGAGGACTGAGAACCCAGATGTGAAAGGTGAGTGTGAGTCTGGAAAAGTCTGTCAGTCCAGGGCCAGAGCGCATGGTGTTGATGACTGGGAGCGGCAGCTTGCACAGCTTGCTCTTAGCCTATGGGTGGGCAGGATCTCAGGTGAGTGGGCTGCCCAGGAAAGGGATGGCCTCAGGTCATGGCAAGTCTCAGCTGGGCAAGCACAGAGCTCCCTTTCTATGCGGCTTCAGACACTTCCTGTCTCTCCAATGCAGGGCTCACAGAAAACAGCCTGGACTCGCTGGCGTTCGAGTCCCTGATCCCCAAGCCCATCCTGCAGCGCTACGTATCCCTGCTGATAGAACACCGGCGGATCATTCTCTCTGGCCCCAGTGGCACCGGGAAAACCTACCTGGCCAACCGGCTGTCAGAGTACCTGGTGCTTCGGGAGGGACGGGAGCTGACAGACGGGGTCATCGCCACCTTCAACGTGGACCACAAGTCCAGCAAGGTGAGGAGGTCATTCGGAGGCTGCTGCTCAGCCAGGGGTCACTTTTCCGTTCAGAATGGTCGATACTACCCCTACCCTGATGGAAGAAACAGCATTTCCTCCACAGTCTCCTTTGGGGATTACAAAAGCCCTGTGAACGAGGCCAGAATGGGGCTAGCAGAAGGGAACACTCTGACCCAGGACTTCCCAGCAAGAAGCTCCCTCTGTACATCAACCTTGCGTTTTTCACTTCCCCACTATGAGCCAGGCATGATGCTCGGTGCTAGCCGTTCTTTAAGATCACCCCAGATACCTCCACTTCGGTTTACCAAGAATTTATCATGCACCTAGAGGTGCTATTGTTTTTGTTTGTTTGTTTGTTTGTTTACGAAACCTCCTTTTGAGAACAACAACAACTCACATTTACATTTACAGACTTCTTGCCCCCACCTCTGTTATCCCCATTTCACAGAGGAGGAAACTGAGGCTGGAAGGAAGACGATCATGTGTCTAAGACCACTCAGATGGCACTGAGCAGTGGACGAGGGCTCTGGTTGAAGCCTTGGACTCTAGTGCCAGCAAATAGCCTTGACCAGGGAGCAAAGGAAATGTTTGGACAGTCTGATCTAATCCCACACAGGGGTTGTGAAGGGTTTTCTCACACACATTCATTATTCATCCAGTGGAGCTGGTGGAAAATTAGCTCTAGCTGGCCCTCTGCAAAGCAGCTAGAGAATCAAAGATGAATTAAAAGTGACTCTTCTGGCTTAGGAATCACCTGACGTCCCCGAAGATAGGGGTTCCTAGACTGTATTCCCAGGTGACCTGCTTCAGTAGGTTGTGTGGGCCAGGAACCTGCATCATTCACAGGTGCCCCAAGTGACTTTTATGTGGAGCAGATCAGGGAGAAGGGTCCGAGCCTCTGAGTCAAAAGCCTCTGTCAGTAAGCTGAGGGAGGGCATCCTTTCCCGGACCAGTGAAAGAAAGACCCCAGGCAGGCGGCGGGGGTTCGAGCCCAGGCTAAGTTGCAGCCCCCAGGGCTCACTTTCCCCTTGACTAGGCACCTCACATGGAGCACAGCTCACCAACAGTACTAGGTGTGAGTAGGGCAGGGAGTCCCCGGACCCCTGTCCTTGTGAGATGCTGAGGCCAAAAACATACAGTGGAGGGGGCTGAAGAAGGAAAGATTACTAGTAACTTAGAAGTTGGGCTTTTTCTATTGCTAGCAAGCCACATTTTGACTTAAGGGAGGTCCCGAGTGTGTGAGTGTGTGTGCACATATGCTCACATGCAGGACAGTCCGGCGTGATGAGCACACCCTGGACGGGCACTGAGTGTGAATCCAGCCCCAATGCTTGCCCTCTGCAATTTTGGGCCAGTCACCTAACTTGGTTGTGCCTCAGCTTTTCCGTCTACAAAAGGGAACTAATCATAGTACTCACCCCAGAGGGTTGTCACAGGGCTAAAAGTTCATCGGTCTAAGGTGTAGAGCCATGCCAGGCTCTAGAGCATGCCAGCTGGCATGATGATGCTGTCATCAGGCGGTCCTTCTGGGTTCTCTGGCGGGTCTTTACCTCACTATTTCAGCATTTTCCCCTGCTGTACCATTATTCTTTCTCCTCCTTTTCTGACATACAGCCATTTCCCCAGCCGTCCTGGGCTGCATTCGGCCCCAGCTCTAGCCAGTCCCCTAGCCCTTCTTCGCAGTTAAATTCAACAAAGCTTACTCTTTCAAGCAGACCTTCCAAGCCCCCCTGTGCATGTAGACCCATCTCCCCGTGCACCATTGGTTGTCTGCCACAGCACTAATCAGCAGTGCATGCTGGGGAAGAGGTCTTCTGCGACATGGATTCATCAAGGCTTTGATATAAGCGGGTCTCCGAGATGCCGTGGAAGAGCACCTTATACAGAGCTTCTATAGCTTATATAGAGATGTATAAGGCACCTGCTCTTGGGAGCTTCCTGGGAGGTTGGCATAATAAGAAATACCAAGAGAAGCGATAACGCTTGTAGAAAAGTGGTACAGCAGGGATATGGAACCAGGCCTGGGCACCCTCCATGGTGCTATGCTTTGGCCCTGGGCTGAAGGTTTTCTTTGACCCAGTCAGTGAATGCCAGAAGGCAGGACCCTGGCCTTTCTCACCCCTGGCGCACTCCACATCCCCTGAGCTCCAGGCCCAGCCCCTGTAGCAGGCAGGCACACAGCACGTGAAGGGCCTTTCCCCCTATGCTGGTCTGGGCAGAGTGTAGGCTCAGCATGTGCATCTCTATCAGGTGCATTCTCCCATTGCTCTTCCCCTGGCCTTTGCAGGAATTGCGTCAGTACCTGTCCAACCTTGCCGACCAGTGCACCAGTGAGAACAACGCTGTGGACATGCCTCTCGTCATCATCCTGGACAACCTGCATCACGTCAGCTCTCTGGGCGAGATCTTTAATGGGCTGCTCAACTGCAAGGACCATAAATGGTAAAGACCAGCTCCAGATCTCATGGTTCCCGGGAGAATGGCCACCGCATGACGTGTGCTGCACAGGGAACTATGCACACGCATGGCCGGGGTCGGCATGGGGCCAAGGGAGGCTGCCAGCCATCTGCCCTGGGCCTCTGTGAGCTCCCTGTTCTCGGGTTTGGCTTTGACTCACAAAGTTCTCTTTTCTTTCATGTCCCCACAGCCCTTACATAATTGGCACAATGAACCAGGCTACCTCTTCTACTCCCAACCTGCAGCTTCATCACAACTTCAGGTGAGGTGTCACTTTTTGAGTACCTGCTATATGCCAGGCTTCATGTTGAGCATTTTGCCCTGCTTAGCTCATTTAATTGTCACAACAGCCTCCAGTAGTTAAATTTCTCATTCTCAGCTTAAAAGTAGAGAGACTGAGGCTGGGAGAATTAAGTGACCCTTGCGAGCTCACATAGCCTGTTATTGGCAGACTTTTGAACCCAGGTCTCTTTGACTGTAAGTCCTGGGGTAGCAGAATCGGGAGGCAGCTCTGGACAGGGGCTGTAGGCATGCTTGCCTCCCCTACACGTCACCAGTGCTGCATCTCTCTGGCCCAAGTGGATGTGAGCAATGGAAGCTCTTGCTTATGAGTGTCCCCGGGTAGGTCTGTGGGCCTTTGAGTTCCACCTGCGGGAAGGACGGTTCCACTCTGTCGTGCCTGGGTGCGTTGTTGCCTGCCTTGCCACCACTGAACGCCCTTTGCCCCACCCTGACCTGCAGCCACTCGGCAGCCATCTCTGAGGGAGATGAAAGTGGACCTGAATCGTCATTATCAGAGAAATGTCAGCTCCTCCAGGCCACTGAAATCATGGCTCACCTCTGCATCCAGGCTGTCCCAGTCTTGTCCTAAATATCCTAAATATGCCTCAAGTCCTTCTTTCTCCTCCTCTCCCCCGTCGCTGCCACATCATCTTCCAGAGCACTACTGCAGTCATTTTCTAACCAGTTTGCCTGCCTGCGACTTGTCCCCCCATCCTCCGTGCCAGTGGCAGCTGGAGTGAACATCCTATAATTCAAATCTGACCATAAACCCTCATGCTTACAGTCCTTCCGTGGCTTCTCATTGCCTCCAGAATGGAATCCAGACTCCTCGGGATGGCAGGCGAAGTCTAAAGTCTGGTTACACTGAACTTCTGGCAGTTTCTCCAAACACCGCACGCTATTTCTCATGCCTCTGCAAATGCTGCCGTGAACTCCTCACCCCTCCCCGACCCCCTGCTCCTGCCTTTTCTTATGTGTGGCTGCTCCATCTATTCTTCCAGTCTCGGCCCAGACATTCCCTCCTAAGGAGCCTTCCTTGATTCCCTAGGCTTCATCATGTATAATTCCTGCTTGTTTATCTGCCTCCTCCACAAGATAGTAAGCCCCTGGGGAATAGGGACAAATGTGTCTTAGTCATTGTCACAGCTCCATAGCCCAGCACAGGGCCTTGACACAAGCACAAGAGGCACTATGCTCAGTGGTTAGAGCTCAGACTTTGGAGCTGGATATATTGGTTCTAATCTTAGCTCTTCTATTAACTAGCTCTTTGATCTTGGACAAGTTACCTAACCTGTCTGTAAGTCAGTATTTCTGTCTGTAAAATGGGGTTGGTGATATCTGCATCATAGGGTTGCCAGGAGGAATTGTGAGTTACTATATTTGCAGTGTTTGATGCATAGCAAATCCTATTTTAGTATTAATTAGCATATACACCTTCCAGTTCTATGGTGCTTTGAATCCTGAGATTAGCCATCGTTTTATCACTGTCATCATCATTGAAAAGCATTCCTGACTTCCACCAGGTGGGTGCTTTGTGCCAACCACACGGAGCCCGTGAAAGGTTTCCTTGGCCGGTTCCTGAGACGGAAGCTCATGGAAACGGAGATCAGTGGGCGTGTGCGGAATGTAGAGCTGGTAAAAATCATCGACTGGATTCCCAAGGTCTGGCATCACCTCAACCGCTTCCTGGAGGCTCATAGCTCCTCGGATGTCACCATAGGTAGGTGGGAAGTCAGGGGAGAGTGGGCAGGTGGGCTGGCTAGGGGGAACTCCTGGAACTCTGGCCTCCTCAGTCACTGTCCTGGGGCCCTGGCCAGGATAGCACTTTGTAGGAACAAGTCAGCTTGACACTGTGCTATCCATGTAGATGGAGGCAGAGGGATGATCACAGCCCAAGATGGACCCCAGACCACTAGTCATGCAGTGCTGTGTCTCCACCCCTCTCACCCTGCCCAGTGCTCTGGAGCTGATCAGCAGCAAGATATTCACCCAGCCCGAGCTAATGCAAACTCTGCCAGCTCAGTGAAAAGCCCCACCCCAAGGCTCCCCTGTGTAAAAACTGCCCTGTGGCATTGGTCTTGTTTTGGAAAAAAAAAAAAGTAAAATGTTACCAACGTTCCTGAAGCTTAACTATTTAGATCAGAGAGGAAAAAGATCATTGATTATCCCACCATGCTGACATAATCATTTTAATTTGAGCTTATTGTTTCTGTCTTTGTCTATACATAGATGTTTTATGTAGTTACAATCATACATAATGTTCTTTTCTTTGCCATTTCACATAGTCTCATGAGCATTCTGCATTGCTACTCTTATTTTATAATTATTTTTAAAGGCTGAATAATAATCATATGGTGTACCATCGTCCGCTTAACCATTTCTGCCCTCTCGGACATTTAGTGGGTTTCTATTTTTGAAGGTCAGGATTAATAATACTGCAGTGAACATCTTTCTCCATTAAGCCTTTTCTTTCTTTTGGATGATTTTCTGAGAGAGAGAGTCCCAAGGTAGGGTATGGGGCCCGAGTGTCCTGTTCGTGCCCGCCACCCAGCAGCTGGTATTCCTACTGTTGCTCAGAAAATCCAGGGTCCCTCCTGCGAGAGATGCTTGGACCATGGCTTCTCCTGACTGTGGCAACTCTGACTGATTTTCACCATGGTCCCCAGGTCCCCGGCTCTTCCTCTCATGCCCAATCGACGTGGATGGCTCCAGGGTGTGGTTCACCGACCTGTGGAACTATTCAATTATCCCCTATCTCCTGGAAGCCGTCAGAGAAGGACTCCAGGTGAGAAGCACACTACCCGCTGGCCTCCTCAAAATTGGGAGTGTTCTGGTGACCAAATGAGTTGTCTTTATCTCCTCCTTCAGGAATCTGATGGGCATGAGATGACTACCTCTTACCTGTGAGACTATCAGTCTAGCACATTGTAGGGACACACTTGGCTATAAATCTGGCTCTGCCACTTATTAGCTGTGTGACCACAGGCAAGTTATTTATCCTCTCTGTCCCTAGTGCCCTCATCAATAGAAAAAGGGAATAATATGCTCTGCCACAAAGACTCGTTGCAAGAATTAAATGAAATTATGGCTATAACGTGCTCAGCATAGTGACTGTGAAGAAATGGAGGCATACGTGTGCAAAGCACTTCACAGTTTGCAAGTACTCTCATATCCGCTGTATGGTTCGAGCCCTGCATTGGTCCTGGAACTGAGAGATTTATTTTTTGACTCCATTTTTCAAGAATGGAGTCCCAAAAGAAAATAAATGACTTGCCTAAAGTCATAGAAGTAAACCTTGAAGAATCTGGGATTTGAGTCCAGGCCTCTGGCTCAAATTTCAGGTTCTCGGCCCTCGGCTTTGTGGCACTCGTACCTGCCTTCGGGAACCCTCACAGGTGACCTGAAGCCCAGGAAGCCGCAAGTCCCTCCTGCCCTACGATAACTGGAAAGCACAGGTTCTCCATTCTCACTCAGCCCAGGGGTTAACATTAGGAGCTCAGCCATATATTGGAACTTGCGACAGTTCTGTTGTTGAGCCGGGAGGTGGCCTGAGCGGTTCTAAGCTCTGGATACCCACACTGAGTCATTAGCGGGCGTCACACGCCGCTGGGTAACCTAGGCACCGGTCTGGTACTGGGCGTTCCAGGGCTCCTTCGTTCCTCAGTCCTGGGCACTGAGAGACACAGGGTGCTGTGGTGGGCACGGAGCGGTGTGCACCACACGCATGTGTGTGACCGTGTACATTAGTAGCTTTGGTCAGCGTTTGTCATTTCTGTATATTCGGCTGAGCCTGACGAATGTTCGACTGCTCTGTATCTATAATACGTAGCAGCAGCGATAGTCTTCAGAGCCATTCAGGACAAGAACTCAAAAGAGGCAAGAAACCAGAGACATGCCACTATCTCATGAGACTCACTAGTTTAGTGCAAGGCAGGAAAAGTCATCGCTTCCTTGTGCTGTGAGGTCATTTGAAGGACAATCTTTCAAGAGTGTGGGAGCAGCCAGGAGAGGCAGCCGGAGTTAGCATTCCACCAAGTTGCTCAAAAGTGAGACACCCCGCCCCAAACCTATGACCTCATCATCTTGATGAGCCCAGGAGACTCTGAATCTGCTGATTCCTGAGGACACTGGCATGTTCTTCATGCCTCTGGTTTTGAAGGGAAGCTTGCTGACATCTGTGGAGGGCCTGCTACTTGCCAGGCACTATGCTAAGGGCCTGACACACATGATGCCATGTGGTTCTAACAGCTCAGCTTGTTGATGAGACCAAGGTTCGCAGGAGTTTTGACCCTTAGCCAAGTTCACCCAGTGGGGTACAATGAGCCAGCAGCATTGGAGCCCAGGTCTAGCTGACCCCTTGGTTACTTCTGTGACTTTCAGGCTGTCCTGAGGGATCACTATAACTAAACCCAGAAGCCTTGGTGGCTCAGGGAACCAAGTACCGTGTTTCATGTAGTGGAGTTTTACATCAGATTTCGTTTGACAAAAGGATTCCTCTATTTTAAAAAAAGGTTTTAAATTCCCTACTTTCACTTTTTGAGTCCATGCTCGCCATGTGCTGAGCACCATGTGAGGTCATTTACTTCTTCACCTGACCCTGCTAGGTGAGTAGAGTAGCTATGAGGGCAGCACTGTGCTTCAAGGTAGAGTCCCCAGAATGGGCTCTGACAGGGCCACCTGTGGTGGTGTGGCCACACAGAAACTCTGCTAAAATCAGGCCTCAAAATCCTGGCAGCGCCTCCAGCAGACACATCCTTTCCTGGAGGAATTGTGGCATCGCCCCCTAGTGGATGCCAGATGCTTTTGCAAGTTTTGACTTCTGACTTTTCCGTGTGTGTGTGTGTGTGTGTGTGTGTGTGTGAGAGAGAGAGAGAGAGAGAGAGAGAGAGAGACAGACAGACAGACAGGCAGACAGACAGGCAGACAGACAGGCAGACAGACAGAGACAGACAGACTGCTTGGAGGTTCTGCGTGAATGTGTGCCTTGATTCCTCTGTGTGATACACGTGTGCATCCCACAGAGTCAGAAGGTTTACAGTGGCCCAGGTTTCAGTTCCTAATGCCTTGGTTCCCTGTCCCTGACCTAGCGGGGATGCCAGATTCCTCCCTGCCTCGGGGAAAGTGAATGTCCTATTTGTCTGTCTGTCTACACAACTGTCTGCTGCTTTTCAAGCTGCCACAGGCCTCTGCTCTGGAGCCAAGGAGCTTTATGATATTTCCTCTGCTCGGCATGGTACTTAACCAGCCATTCACCACCTGGACTTGAGCATATCCAACGGCAAGTGGGGAGGCTTGTAAAAATATTTCCTGTTCTTGCAGATGATGTTAGCATGTGCCTGATGCACTCCTGTCTGATGACTCAGTCCCCAGCCCTGTTCCCTTTTGGAGCTGTCATTGTAAACACTTTGGAGCTGCCAAAGTGTCTGGTCTACAGAGTAACTCGAAAGACCTCCATCTGCCTGTGGAGTGGGGAGTGTGTGGCGTGGGGTCCGTTATCAGATAACCCAACCTGCTCTGAGACCCTGGGAAAATCCCCCTTCTCACGGCCTCAGGTTCACCATCTGTATTCTGAAAAGTTTGGACTAGGAGAATGTTTTCTCAGGCTGGCTTCTGTGGAACCCAGAAGTTCCTCAAACTCCTCAGTAGTGGGGTCAGGGGAGAAGAGCAAATATTTGAAAACCACTGGGCCAGATTCTCTCTAAGGACTTGACGAACTCCCAATTCCAGCCTCTGTTATTCTGCAGCCCGGAGCATGACCTCCTCCACACCTAAGGATGGAGACAGAAGCTGTAGCTGTCAGAAATGAGGCTTGGGTTCAGCCTCACCCATGTGAAGCCCGGCTCGGGACAAGCAGCCCAGTTCCATGGGGAAGGCCCTCGGAGGGAGAAGCTTCCAAAAATTGTAGGAACGTTTCTAATCTGGAACTGCCTCCTTCAGTTCTAAATATCCCCAAATACTCGTGTTCCCTTCCTCCCTGACACACATGCGTGTGCACACGCACACGCCGGCTTTACATACTCCTTTCCTGTCCTGACTATAAATTGCCTTCAGAATGCCAGATTGAATTCTCAGGCCTAAGACTTAGCATTGCCCCAGGTTAAGGAAGATTTAGCAACAGACAGGGCCAGAGTGCTAGACAGGAGGGGTGCTGGTGTCTGAGAGGATGATGAGGTCATAGGAGGCTGTATATATCCTGAGAGGAGGAGGCAGCCATCAGTGGGGCAAGATGGGCTTACAGAAATCATACAGAAAGGTCAGAAGTGGCTTAGGCAGTCATGAGACAGCTGCAGGAACAGCGAACCCAGCCCAGGTTGACATGTCCTCGCGAGGAGTCATTTGGGAGGGGCAGAGAGGGGAAAGGCCCCGACCAGGAAGCCGGAGTTTGAGGTTCAAATTCAGCCCTGCTCCATAACCTTTCATAACTGGCCATTCTCACTGGACCAATTTCCTCATCTGGTACATGATGGCCTAGGCGACCCCAGTTTTTTCCAGCTGAGGCAGCCTATGACTTGGAAAGACATGGCTCTGTCAGTCAGAGCTCAGCTCTATTCTACTGCCAGCACCTTCCCCACTTTCCCCTCTCAACTGCAGGAGTCCCGGGAAGGCAGAGGGAACAGACAGGCAGGCTGTGGTCCAGGTGTGACTCTACTCGAGAGCCCCACTGCAGCCACTGTGGTTCAGGAGTCTCTGATCTTCATATCCCGGGGTCGCCTGTAGAGGGGGTGCCTTCCAGAGCCACAGAGCACTGCCCAGTGTGGTAAACAGCTTGTCTTGGCTGTGAGCACATCCTGCCACATCTTCTCAGACTCTAGTGGTGCATGGAGTTGGACAGACTTGAATTCCAGTTGTCTCCTCTCCTCCCTGAGCCTATCTCCTCGTCTGGAAAACTCGGGTGGTAATGCTTCCTCTTGGAGTCACATGGCGGCTAAACAAGATGGTGGTAGTGGTAAAGAGGAAAGGTATAGACTATACCTAGCTACATAATATACCGAGCCGAGCCTTGGGAAGTGGTGTAGCCTAGGTTCTTGTTCTTTAAAGAATGTGTATATTTCTTAAAGTTGCCAATAAAATTCACTCAAATCATTTTATCATTAGGCTTAAGAAAAGGAACTTGGAAGCATGGTACTGGTCGTATAAAATTAAGTGATGAGACAGTTTTCTGTTTTAAGAGAAAATTAGTTATTGTGGATGATTTCGAAAAATACATGAGGAGGGAGAAGCACTAGGCACACGTAACCTCTGTTAACAGTTTGCGGTTTTGAAAGTGACAGGTGTTTTGCTGAGGGGCTCTCAGAGTCAGACCTACTTCAGGAAATGGGTTTTTATCAAAACAGGGCCATTAGTGACTTCTGACTGTGATGTTGATGGCCAGCACCCAATCCATGTGGGAGCTATTCTTTGGGTGGGTGCATAAACCAGGGTACTATATCCTGCCCGTGCGACTGAGCCAGCACCTCTTTCCAGCTCCACGCTCAGTGGCATCATACTGGTAGTTTGAAATTGACCTGGGTGGGACTATATATACCATGGAAATTGGTAAATGCTTCAAATCAGATAGTGATTTGTCTGTTTTTCCTCAGAGACCGCTTTTCAAGTTGGATCAGCAAGGCTCAGAGTTCAGGGTGACACCATGAGTCAGTGGCAGAGCTGAGATATGAACCCACGTCAGCCAGACTCCAAAGCCAGTGTTCCTGGCCCCTGGGTCATGCTGCCTTCGGCCTTAGCATGACAAACTGGCCCTTGGATGACTTCCTTAGGATAGCGCTCTGGAAGTGGAGTTCCACCGTCAGGGGAGGCGTAAGGCTGGATCTGGGGAGTTTTTCAGAAAACTGCAAAATCAGGGCTGCAGAGCAGACTCAGGCGCCTTCCTGACTGTTCTTTCTTTGCCTCTTTTCAGCTCTATGGAAGGCGGGCCCCCTGGGAGGATCCTGCCAAGTGGGTGATGGACACCTATCCTTGGGCAGCCAGCCCACAGCAGCATGAGTGGCCTCCCCTACTGCAGCTCCGGCCAGAGGATGTCGGCTTCGACGGCTACTCAATGCCTCGGGAGGGCTCGACGAGCAAGCAGATGCCCCCAAGTGATGCCGAAGGAGACCCGCTGGTGAGTTCTCAGCTCCCAGAGCAGCTGAGCATTCGTGGAATGCCAGCTGCATATTGGGCATGAAGCAAGGCATGCTGCAAACACGGAGGGGACTGAGCCCCGTCTTGCATTTTTGGAGGCTGTCCCCAAGACTAGGGACACTTTTGCCAGTATTTTCTTCTGTGGTGTTAGTTTTCACTAAAGCCTTTAACCCCTCTGAGGTTGCTTCTGGTATAAGGTAAATGGTAGGAATTTGATTTTTCCCCCTAAATGTCCCTATACCTATTGTCCCTCTGATTACTCTTTGCCCTCTGATTTGAGTGCCACCGTTGGCATGTACTGTTCTGCTCCATTGATGTCTCCCACTAGTAACTGGGCAGACACAGACCTTGTTAAGGAGGAGAAGCCCAAGCTGGACGATCAGGAAGGTAGAGGTGTGCGGGCAGGAGGGGCTCACGGAGGCACAAGGGCCTGACCATGGGTCCCAAGACCAGTGAGGAGAGTTGAGTCTAACAGCCTGAGCTGCTTATTTACTCCACCATCGGTAAAGCAGTAAAGGCCCTTTATGAAGACCCTGGGCCAGTGATGGCAACGCTGCAATCACAGCACAGTAAGTCCTCACTTAACGTTGTCAGTAGCTTCTGTGGCTTTAAGTGAAACCACAGATAACAAAACTAATTTTACTGTAGGCTCATTGATACAAACCAGAGTTAAGGTCATAGGCATCTCATCAACAGTATAATGAAACATCATTCAAGGACCTACCGTATTCTCTCTGCCAATAAATGATGCATACATAGTCATACTGAAAAATTAGACTTAACAAAGCAAAAGCTGTATAAAATGCCGTGAAAGCAAATATAGCAGAACCTTGAGCTCCCTTGGCTGCTAATGCAAAAGGAAAAACACAGCAGGGAGTATTGCTTGCATTACCTAATGAAAGAAAATGTTCGTAAGAGATGCAGCGCAATTAAAAGATGGATGATTTGCTGTTCTCTTTCTAGCGATTAATCGATTTGCTAGATCAAAAAAATAACAATGGGTCCTTTGAGTCCTCTGCCGTCCTCCTGACTGGTGGAATAGAGCTGTGGTTGAGAATTTTTTTAACAGGTACTACATTTTAAATGGATTTATCATTTGTGTTGCTATGCACAACCTGATTTATAGTGGTTATGATAATGATTTTACAGAGGAAAGGACTGAACTTTATAAAGCCAGTTCCAATGTAATCCATGGCTAAAGCCGAAGTCATAGAGATATTTGTTGTGGGTGCAAGCTCATGAAGTCTCAACTTATGTAAAAATAGAACTTAGGATAGCTGGAGGAAAGAATGGCTGGCTCACCCCCAGACACTCTTTTCTTAAGCAGGAATATTCGTATCACTGATTGAAGACAGCAGCCTTTCTGATAAGGCCTGGGGTTCTCAGAGTAGTTACACAGAATTCTCCTTCCAACCCCAGGTCTCCAGAAGTGAGCTGTGCCCACCCAGCCACCTCCGGTTACCAGGTTAGGTGTTTAGTGATTCTCCCAAGTTGATGCTCTCCGCCCCAGCCACGGGTCTCTTATAACAGCTGTTTACTAATCCCTGTCATGAGACCGAGACCTCCAAGAGAACAGGACTGACTTGTTTGTATTCCAGACCACAGAATATGGGTATACTTGGAATGTTTGATGAGTGAATAAATAATCCCAACTGTAAAGGGTTTTTCACTGCATATCAGCTCCACCCTTCCCCAGTTATGGCTGTGCAGGTGAACACCGGCTGATGGTGCGTCTGTGGCTGGGCTTACCCAGGTAGACTCTGCTAGACTTTCTAGGGGGCGGCTAGATTTCACACTCAGCGGCACCAGGTCTTGGCCTTAGCTCAGAGAAAGCCTATCTTCCTAACTTACTTGCTAGATAAAATATAAAATACATGCACATGATTTATAGTTATAAATAAAATAAAAGTAGTTTTTAGTTCTCCATCTCCACTTGCAAATAAATAACCAATAGACTGTCAGAGAAGATTTAAGAACACTGTATTCAAAGTCTTCTTTAAGTTAGATGAGGAGCAGGAGGAGGAGCAGGAGGAGGAGGAGGAGGAGAGCAGATCACATTTATTGAGCCCTTGCCCTGGGCCAGGCCCTATTCTCAGGGTTTAATACACATTATGTTATTACATTCCCTACTTCAGCCCTAGGGGTTAGGTGCTGCTCTTCTGTCTAGAAACCGGTGGCTCTGATACATTAGGTGATTTGTCTAAAGATTTCTTAGTTGGAATCCAGGCCTCTCCACACCCTGGGTCTCTGCTTGTTCCTGGTGCTGTCCTTCACCTCTCTCTGAGCTCCTCGACAGGAGCTGGAGTACAGGTGGCTCCAGGCTGCCCTCTGGAGCACAGATGAGCTTGATGCTCATCAAAGGGGGAGCCCTGTGCTTCGAAAGTCAGCGATGCTGATGAGTGCATTCTAGAAGCAGGGACACTTGGCTAGCATCTTTACCCAGGCTTAGGTAAGGTGTGACCCTCCCAAATAAAAATAAGTGTCATATTTATAGGAGACTTTCTGTTTTGTTTCCAGTGCTCTACATATATTAACTCAGTGCACACCATAACGTTTTAGGGCAGGTTCAGTTATCATTCACATTTGACCAGTGAAGAAACTGACGCGCAAAGAGTTGAAATAACTTGTCCAAAGTCATGCAGCTAGTAAGTGGTAGAGCCGGGACTTGAACCCTGGAAGCCTGGCCCAGAGTCCATACTCTTATCCACTGCCTCGGCTGTAGGTTGCAGTTCCCAGGTGAGTCCGGAGGAGGAGGTGTGACCTTCGAAGAGGCCAGGGTTGAGTGCAGACTGGACTGAAAGCTGCTCATGCTCTCTGCTCTTTCCCCAGATGAACATGCTGATGAGGCTGCAGGAAGCAGCCAACTACTCCAGCCCCCAGAGCTATGACAGCGACTCCAACAGCAACAGCCATCACGACGACATCCTGGACTCCTCTCTGGAGTCTACTCTGTGACAGGGGCCTGGCCATGGAGCCTGCCCACCTCTTTTCCTCACCCCACTCCACCTACATCCTCCGCACCATCCTGAAGATGCCCTCCTGAGCCAGCCCCCGGCTGCAGCGTGAGAGCTGCAGGAATACCAAGACCCCTCGTCCTCCAGCCTTGACCTGGGTGCAGGCATCCTGGGCCGGCCGCCTTGGGACTGCTTCCTTCCACAATGAGAACTGCACTATCTTCGCTTTTATTTTAATTATTGTTTTGCCTTGTTGCTGTGACCTCCCTAAGACACTGAAGATACTTCTTGGGAAAGGATCATCACCGTTGAAAACAAAAAGGGTTTTAAAAATAAAAAAAACTCTCAAAGCTCTGAAACCAAACGGCATCCTGCCATGAGCTGCCCAGAGACAGAAGGGACTGGAGCAAAGTTGGAAATGCAGCAGCACAGCTTCCCCTCAGCACAGACCCTCCAGCACCCCAGTAGCCACACCAGCCTGCTCTTCCACCCAGCCCGCCACGGAGAACTGGTGCTAACTAGGGCGCTTGCTTTGGTCACACAACAAATGACAGAGCTACAACGCAGGGAACCTTAGGAAAAACAACTCGTGCTTTCTATTCTGTTTTGTTTTTCAAATGGTGCTCTCCTTATCCGAGAAGTATTTTGCCTGTTCCAAGTCAACCAACACACCTTGCAGATACGTCAGCCTCCGACTAATCCACGAGCGTGAGTGAAAGAGTGAGAATGTGCCCGAGCCGATGTGCTGCAATGCAGAACAGCATGTGTCTGTTTCCTCCTTATATGTAAATGATCAGGTTTTTTTTTTTTATTATTATTGTTCTTCCTGCAAACACTGTGTACAGTGAGAATTGGTCTACTTTGGAGAACTGATAACCCCTTTGAAAATGAAGTTGAGTTTCTCCCTTTCTGACTCTTTAATTTCTGAAGATTTTTCTCCCTCCCCTCTTGGTTGGAATCAATCCTTTGGTGAGAGGAAGAACCGCAGGAGCTGAGTTTTGGTTTGGTCCTGCTGAGCATCGGTTTTCAGCTGTCCGTCCTCACCGCTGTGCACACCCGCCGCCTCCTGCTGGGGCCGGCTGCGTCCTGTAAAGTCCACCGGGACCCATCCCCAACATGCGGGCGAGCTGGAACCTTGCCTTTCCTTCTCGTCCTCAAGGCTTTAGATCGCACGTCGACACCTCAAGCGTGCCAGCCCCAGCCTCAGGTGGGGTGGTGAGGTCACCTCATGAAAGACTTTCCTCAGAACCAACGTGACACAAGTCAACACGTCGGGGGGCGGCCGCCCCCTTCCGGAAGCTCCGGCCTCCGTCTGACGAGCCTTGCCTGACCTCTTCGGTGCTGGCCTTCCCGAAGCGATGCCTTACTGGTTTTGTACCAACCGTGTTCATTTATGAGTGTCGTGCCTGCCTGGGGTCCGTTTTTTTTTTGTTTTTTTTTTCCCCCATCAGAGCAAACAGGGCTAACGTCATCTACTCATTAGGAGAACTCAAGTTGCTGTGACTTTTTTCTCATCCAAAAGACTCATTTGTGTGGATGTATGAGACCATGGGAAAAAAGAAAAAGGGAAAAAAAAAATCCATTTTTTAGGTTCTTATCAGTCTCCAGCTAAAACCCTGACTGGACTATGATCTGTCTTGTGCAGGAAAAGGCAAAAGTCTCTAAAAGTCTACATGACATTGTTGATACATGCCGTGCTATTCTGTGTCTTCAACATACTGATATTTTCTTTACAGAGTATGGTAAATCTTTGAGTTGTCTGTTTCTGTTTTATAAAGAGGATCTTTATGTGACCCCAGTGGGGGACTATCTGTTAACGATCAGGGTTTTTATTCCATCTTTACATTTCTATTTCTGAAGGTCCATCTCTATATTTTTTCTTATTACCACAAGAGCTTGACCTGAAACTGCTCACATTACATTGGATGACACCATTTTCTTCGTCCTTGAAAAAGAAAACGGGAATTTGTCCCACTAACTGGTGAATGGAAGACCTCTCAACACCGTCCCTGCTTTGATCTCAATAAACTTGGACTCTATTCTTCTAAGCCTTCATTAGCCATCTGGGTGTGTGAGTGTGTCTTGTTCTGTTTTGTTTTTCATAAAATTTTTAAACCATATATTTAGCCTGTGACCACGGGCCGAACCCTGAGCCTTCTGGTAGACCTTAGAATGGTCCTTCTCAACTATCTCCCAATGCTGACCTTACACTCGTACTGTGAATTTGGGAGGAGGTAAAAATTCTCCTCGTGGGCAGTTTTCCCAGTCACCTTGTGAGTAGACACCTGTCTACAATATTGTTCGAAACTTTTTTTTTTTTTTATGACACCCTTTCTTTCTCTTCTCCCCTCTCCCGCAGACTTCCCTCCCACTGGATCCAGGCTCAGAACCGAGACCTCTGTCCCTGGTGTTACCCGACTAGTGAACGGTGATTTCAAGTAGCGTAGTCCTTTAATGATTCACAACTCAGTGACCTTCCTAAAGTTTCGGGAAGCAGGGTTGTCTGATATGCACATTTCTTCTCTTGGTCATATTTTACTTTAGTGTCTCTCACCTTTAAAAAAGTGACTTTACTCATTTAGGGCTCTGTCCGAAATGCTTCCATTTTGCCTTTTTCTACAGTTAGGCTAATTTTGAAATGTATGAAATTCTATGCAACATTTATGTTGAGTTACCAATGGAAGCCAAAAGTTTCCCAAACTGCCAAGAATTATACAGGCCATAAATGAGACGGGAATACCTTTTAATTTAAGGTTGAGGGTGGGGTACAGGGTGGGACAAGAAAAAAGATTTGCCTAGACTTTTGTTGTATCTTGGGAACATTTTTTATTTTAATTGTTGATGCTCTAAATTTCCAAATTCTGTATATTCAAATTTGATCATGGCGAATCTTCTTCAAAAAAGTAATAATAATCCGACTTTGTGGATATTAAACGGAAGGTTTGCTGTTTGATCTAGTTGTTACCAGTGGAGCAGTTTATGAAATATGTTCTATAAGATGTACATTTTTTCATTGTAACATAGAAATTGTAAATAATTGATTAAAAGTGCTGCATTTTGATGAATTTTTTCTAGCCATTTTTAAAGAGAAAACTAGGAATTGAGTATTTTGTGTACGGTATGTTTCCATCCTCCCTCCCCATCTTCCTTCCCTCCCTCTCTCCCTATTTAATTTTCATTCGTCATGAGGTTTTTGGATTTGCCAATGATCTGCTGGAGATCATGTCCCACATCATAGAGAATAAAGCTGATTGTACCAGTCTTAAATTATTCATGATTCAATAAAATTGATGCTTATTTATTCAGATTAGTGGTTTGGCATTTATGTGCTAGAGCAAGTCCTTGTCAGAGTTCAATTTCAATGCCACGAGGAAGTCATTCTTACTCGGATGCAGCAAACGCAGAGAGTCCAAAACATTTGCAAACCCATCTTTGCCACCATATCCTCAACATCCTACCTCCTCTCAGTTTCTCATCTCAGTGACTGCTGCTCACGTGGATCTTGTGGAAATGTGGGTTCTGATTTAGTAGGTTCAGGGTGGGACCTGAAATTCTCACTTTCTAACAATCTCCTAGGCTGTGGGCCCCAGACTGCCTGTGAGTAGCAAGCGATGTCGGTATCCAGCATCTCCCCACCCGCCGTCAACCCTTTGTCAACAGAAAGACTTTTAATGTATTGAATACCTACTAATTGCCAAATGCTATCCCAGATTCCCCAATATAATCTGTAAAATGACCTCGAAGAGGTAAATATTCCCATTTTACAGATGAAAAAAAAGCAGGCTCAGAGAAAACAACTTACTGAGGATCCTGTAAGCCAAGAGGTGAGGGTTGGAGTTTCAGCCTCACCTCCAGACCCAAATCCTGCCTCACTGGACTGCCTCTAATCTTAGGAGCCCCGTTCCACGTTGCAGCTGACATCCACAGCAGAGAAATAGGCAGTGGGAGGACCTCATATCTCTGCATTCACTTCTAACAGCAGCAACAAAAATTTTAAAAGCTTGGTTTGAAGTGAGACCTGTGGGTTTGCTGTGAAATTGATCCTACACAGCTGGCTCAACTGCTAATGATGTGAAATATCTAACTCAATGCACAACAATGGCCTACGGGGTGTGAAGAGATGAAGGAGCCAGATGTTCAGCATTGGCAGTTTGCAATGCCTGTCCAAAAAAAAGGAAGGGGAGCTGGTGCAGTGGTTTAGCAAGTAGATACCCCAAATTTCCAAGATTTCCCGTGTCATATTCTACTGCACTGCTTCACAGAATATTCTGACGATTTCTAAGGAATATGATCCACATATGCGGAAGGCATAATGGGCCAGAGGACTTTTAAAAGAAAGAAAGGGTGGGAACTGTGCACTTAAATACTTAATGTGTGCCAGAGACTGTAGTGAGAATTTCACCTTCTCACACGTAATCACAGCACCTTGAAGAGGTGGACATTATTCTCCATTTTACAGGGAGAAAAGCTAGATGAGTAATGTTAAATAACTTATGTAGTAGGAATAGAATTCTCAGTTTCCCCGATTCTAAAACCCACGCCCATTCTGCCACATGACAGCACCACCATCACCTTAGGCTGGACCTTGAGGGAAAAGTACACATCCCTTCTGCATTAGTTGTGTAACCAATTACGAATTATTACTGTGTAACAAATTATCCCCAAAACTTAGCAGCTTAAAGCAACAAGTATTTTCTCATTTGGTATGGATCAGGGGTCCAGATGTGTCTAAGCTGGGTCCTCCGGCTCAAGGCTTCTCACAAAGCTACATCAACATGCCTTAAATATTTACAAGGAATGTTTGAAAGCAAGAAGTATATAAAACATTTAATGGTAAAATATTGCACATTTTCTTTTTCACATTGGGAGACAAAGATGCTTCTTCTCATTAACATCACGATAGAGCCCCTAGTCAGTGCAAAGGAGCAAGAGAAATTAGGATTGGAAAGGAAGCAATTAGACTTTATTCACAGATATTATGTACTTCAATAATCGAAAATAATTCACAGATTATTAAAAATAAATTGAATAAATTTGCTGGACATAAAATCAGTACATGAAAATCAGTTGAACATCTCTGCAGCCAAAAGTTTTAAAATAACCCATTTAAGCACCGAAAATATCAAATACATAGAAATAAATATGATGTAAGATGTGAAAGATCTCTCAGTAGAAATCTATAAAACATTATTGGGAGAAATTAAAGGAGACTCAAAGAAATGGAGGGATATATTATGATTATGGGTTAGAAGAATCAATGTTATGAAGATGTCAGTTCCTCCAAAATGAACTATAGATTTGATGCACTCCCACTCAGAAGCCCAATGTAGCTTTTATCAAATTGACGAGATCATTTGAATATGTATATTGAAATGCAAAAGGTGAAGCATAGCCAATGAAGAATGAGAAGAGCCATATTTCTACCAGATAGCAAGACTTGCTATTAAAGGTCATTAAGACAGTGTGGTATCATTGAAAGAACTGACAAATAGTTTAAGAAAATAGAATAGAATAAACATTCCTAAATAAACCTAACATATGCCTGTTTTCCTACATGGAAACATCTCAGACCAAAGGACCTATTTAATGGCGAAGGGAACTTGACATGGGACACATGCAGTGGGATCCACTGGTTCCTACTATAAAGCTGGAGTTTGGACTGTCTTCTTAAAGGCTTGATTGAGGCACCAGCTTGAGTAGGACATTCTGAGATGGAGCACTCTTCTCCAGAAAGCGGTATACATTTTCAACCATCAGCCATTATTGGTTGCTGAGTGCCCAATTGCTAGAGTCCATGAGTTTGGGAACATAGGCGTAGAGGTACGAGTGGTCCCCTGCAGTAAACCTGGGAAGTTTTTTTGCTTCCTGTTCCTACAGCTTTAGGCTCTGACTTTAGAGGCGATTGGTGTGTGAGAGGCAGGTGGGGGAAGGTGGGAGGAAGAAAATTTCGACCACTGAATTTTAAACTACCTCTGCTACCTGATTACCTGGGACTGCTCCCTCTGGTGGAGACAGAAGTTGCTATGCGGGCTGGGTAATTGCTCCTGATTGTGATGAGAAGCTAGGGATGCATCGTGCGAGCTCGGAGAAGTATGTCTGGAATTTGGAGAACCCTCAGAGATACTTCTTGCTGTTTCCATGTCTGGTGATAACTGTGAATGGAAACCTGCAGCCACCACTGCCCAACAAGGCCAAGATAAACAGTTACTCAGACCCTTCAGAAAGAAGAATGAAGATCTGGGTCATTCAGAACTGTGGGAGAGCTGGCTGAGGGGAAGGAGAGTAAACCAGAATAGAGGATTGAGAAAGGAGATGCTGGATAGCAGTTAACGGCCCTAGAACTGTTTCCACTCTAGCAGTGAGACAGGCTTATTCCCCTAACCCTCCCATTCTCAGTTTTGTTTGTTTGTTTGTTTGTTTAGAAATTGTGACCAGTCACCACCTTGGAGCATCAATAGCAGAATGGATTCAATGAGCCAAATGAGTGGTCTGAGTACTGTAAGGCATGGGCTGCAGCAGACACTGTTGACAACTCAGTCCCTACCCCTGAAGTCCCCTGAGCCTGCAGTGGACAGCTGGCATGCTGACAACATCCCACCGCAAGCTCCTGCATCTCTCTGCTTCTCTGCCTGAGTCTTCCCTCCAGTGCCACGTTCAGCCCAAGTGCAGAGCAGCCCACACGGGATGTAGTGCCCCAGGGACAGCCTACAACCAATAAGGTATGGGAGTTAGTGCACAATGTCCCACTTCCCCGTCTGTCTTTGGGACAAGTGGGGGACACATTCTGCGGACCTTTAGAGATTCTCCAATAAGATCGAGCCCCAGGTGTCCACAGTGGCAGTTAAGGAAACTTTTACTGGCTTTCTCCCTTCCTTGTCATGTGTTGTCTACTCCCTCGCTCAGATGTATCACGAGGATGATGCACTTAAGGGCACACCCCCCAAGAGCGAGTCCAGCTTAAACTCTGTACCCGAGATACCTCACTCGCCTCACCCAGCCCCCAGCCCTCCCCTCGTGTGCTTCCTGACACCACAGCACAGATTAGCTATCCACACTCGAATCCTCTCCCAGCGTCTGATCAGAGAACTCAGCAATTCCACTCTTAGTGGTTATTATTATGGATTAAATTGTGTTCGCTAAAAAGATATGCCTAAACCTTAAGCCCCAGTACCCCAGAATGTGACCTTATTTAGAAATAAGGTCTTCGCAGATGTAATTAGTTAAGATGAGGTCATATTAGAGTTAAGGGTGAGCCCTGAAAGTAATAGGACTGGTGTCCTTATCAGAAGACAATGTGAAGCAATGAAGGAAGAACGTCGTATGAGACAGAGGCAGAGGTAGCAGCCATGTGGCTGCAAGCCAAGGAGCACCAAGGAATGAGTTCCTTGCTTCCCTTGGAAGCTAAGAAGAAGCAGTGAAGGATTCTACTCAGTCTGAGGGAGCCTTGCTGACAGTACTGTTTCAGACTTCTGGCCTCCTGAACTGTGAGAGAATAAATGTCTATTGTTTTTGTTTTGGTTTTCTTTAAATATTTTTTCTTTTTTATTTTAAAAAACTTTTAAACTTACAGGAAAGTTACAAGAACAGTATGAAGAAAGCTTTTTTCTCCCCGAACCTTTTAAATGTCTATTGTTTTAAGCCACCCAATTTGTAGTACTGAGTTATGGCAATTCTAGGAAACTAAAACAGTTATATGCCCAACAGAAATGCATGTCTGTATATATACATTTATATGTATATATATATACCAGGAAATATGTACACAAGTGTTCACAGAAGTTATACTGTTTATTATAACAAAACCCGGAAAAAAACTGTACTTCCACTGACAGTAGAATGACAAAATCATATTATGTCAGTGTCATACAGTGAAAATATTTGTGGATGGATATTGAGTGAATGTTGCACGACAGCGGCCAAATACGTAAGAATGCTAAATGTATGGTTCCATTTACATGAACTTCACACTACCATTTAGGGCTGGGTGCCTGTGTAGGTCATAAAACTATAAAGAAAAGCAAGAAGGGCAGGGCCAGTGGTCAGAGAGGGTTGAAAGGCTTTGGGTGGCTGGCAGTGTCTTAGTTCTTGACTTGGGTGGTGGTTCACAAGCAATCACTTTGAGAGCTGTGTATCTTTGTTTTATGCACTTTTTTTCTGTGAGTATAATTACACTTCATAAAAAAGTTTTTAAAAAGCACACCACCCCAGGCTGCCCATCGGGTCACCGCACCCAGTGAGTGAGCAGGGCAGCCAAGAATGCTGCTCTGGAGAGTGAACAGATTGAGGTTTTTCACCTTTTAGCTCGCC